GACTCCTCCTCGTTCCCAACGACGCCTTCCCTTCGCGTCTCTCTGTCTCCAATCCGTCAAGCCTCCTCTCCTTAGCATTCTACCTCTTGCGGGCGGATTGGAGTTTCGAACAGATACCTCCTCTCCTCTCAACCTCCCATCTCAAATCTCTCCGTTGGCGAGCTGCATCAGACCCCGATCGGTATCGCGTTTCCCGTTCTCGTAGGGTAACAGATTCGTGCGCGTATGACTGTTAAGGGATCGATCGGCGTTGTTGTTTCAGGACGAATTCTGGGGATCTCGGACGGGGTGCTGATCGATTCATGTGACGGGCTGTGATCGGGCTTTGGTGGGGACTCTGCGCTGCGACGACTACTCCGAACATGTTGTGCTGTGGCGGTGCCGAGGAGGAGAACTATGGTCCCCCTGCTAGCCAGTACGCTGCACCCCCAAACCGAAATGCTCTTGGTAATCTGCCCTCTTTGTTTCAGATTCTGCCCTCTTTTTGGCAGATCGTTTTGCTTCTTGTTCTAATCTCGATTGTTGATTCATGGTTGCATCTAACGATACATCAATCGATTTCATTGTCTATAAAACAAATAATAGGCGGAGCTTCAATTGACAAATGTATACTGCTGAGTACGAGAAATGATTTCATTTTCTTTGTCTATCCGTTCATCTGTGGCCAAATGAATCATAAGAGTTTGTTACAAGCTTAACTTCCTCGATCGATCGAGGAATCGCTTGAAACTTTCAGAATCTAAATGTGCAGCCGAAGGATCGACACATCCTTATTATAATTGTTGTGATCCCGAAGAATACTTGATTGGCCTACTGTTCTTGATACTATGATTTGGTATAAGGCTCGCGGTCCGGCCAAAAGTCATGCATACTCCGATGTGTTCGGTATGCCTTAGACATGATAAAGCATGATCTAGTTCTATGACGATGATTCTAGGGTTAAATTTGAAGGTCATGTTTGTACATGCGGCATGTAGGAATCAAAATCGAGCCACTCTACATCGGCATGAATCTGCACGGACATAAATTCCAGCTATGTTCTTCTTCGGTTTGGCTAACCGGAGATTTGTTTTTGTCATCGGAAAACTTGAATGATCACAGCTTTTATTGGTTAGTTTTGATTCGCTCTTTGCATTCTGTGATGCAGGACATGACAGAGACCCAAGAGGGCCGATGGCAGCCAGAAACGGAGCTCCCCCGAAGGTCTTGCCGATCGAGATACCTGCCATATCGATATCCGAACTAAATCGCTTGACGAATAATTTCAGCGATAAGGCTTTGGTCGGAGAAGGATCATATGGAAGGGTCTTTCGTGTCACTCTCAGCACCGGAGAACCTGCCGCAATAAAGAAACTAGACCCGAGTGCCTCCAATGAGCCAGATACTGACTTTGCTGCTCAGGTCAGCGTGATTTCTGCTTTGACAAGCACACGAACAATTCACGTTTCAGCTGATATCTTCATATTTCTGATGCAGTTGTCGATGGTTTCAAGACTCAAGAATGAATTCTTCGTCGAGCTGTTGGGCTATTGTTTGGATGCAAATCATAGAATTCTGGTGTATCAGTTTGCAACAAAAGGTTCTTTACATGATGTTCTACATGGTAAATGCTACTAAGATCATCACTTTCTGATCTTGTCTACTTCACATCGGATGCAAATTCCTTGTTTTTGGCCTGAGATCTGGGGCCATTGTCCTGGAACAGGGAAGAAAGGTGTGCAAGGTGCTGAACCTGGTCCTGTTCTTAGCTGGAGCCAGAGGGTCAAGATCGCTTATGGTGCTGCAAGGGGTCTGGAGTATCTCCATGAAAAAATCCAACCCCCGATCGTCCATAGGGATGTCCGATCGAGCAATGTTCTTTTGTTCGATGATTTTGCTTCCAAAATTGCTGATTTTAATCTGACCAACCAGTCTCCAGACACAGCCGCGCGTCTACATTCGACTCGAGTTTTAGGAACTTTCGGATATCATGCTCCAGAGTAAGCTTACTGATCACCTCTATATTTTCTATTTGGTTGAGTTTTGATTCTTGCTAAGATACCCAACAGAGGTGCGGGCTGGCAAAATGGTGATACTAACATCAACTTGATTGCAGCAAAAGTCGACATTATGTTGACGAATGATCACAGAATTGCTTCATAGCTTAAAACTTGTTGTTCTAAGCAGATGAAGAGAATAGAATATACATCGATTTGCTGTTCTGGCAAAGATCTCGAATGAAGAAGATGATGAACGACTGTGTTAATATTACTCTCGATCGTTGTGCCAAACTCTTCTGCAGGTATGCTATGACCGGGCAATTGACCCAGAAAAGTGATGTCTATAGCTTTGGAGTCATTCTTTTAGAGCTTCTAACAGGGAGAAAGCCTGTAGACCACACAATGCCTAAAGGCCAGCAGAGTCTGGTCACTTGGGTAGGTCTAATCTCTCCGTGCAATGCATAAAACCCATGATGTACCCATTGCTGCTAATTCTATTATCCGATGTGCAAATCCTGGAACAGGCAACTCCAAGGTTAAGCGAAGACAAGGTTAAGCAGTGTGTCGATCCGAAGCTAAACGATGAGTATCCACCAAAGGCTGTTGCAAAGGTACACTACTCCATTCTTCTGTGTCTGTGTACGTGCAACCTCGACATTACAACTTTGTCCTAACATGCAAATTGTGTTCGAACAATTCAGCTGGCAGCAGTTGCGGCACTGTGTGTGCAATACGAATCTGATTTCCGACCTAATATGACCATCGTTGTCAAGGCCCTTCAGCCACTCCTCAACGCAAAACCAGGGCAAGAACAACATAATTGACCTTGGAGCGATTCCGGTTGCTCCCTATCTATAACTAGTTTGCTTCCCCATTTTGTGTCTGTCAGCCGAATTTTATGACTGGAACTAGTAATGTGTCAGCATCTGTTGTAGTTTGACTTGATATATTGGAATGAACTAGAACATTTCTTGTGGAACCAATCTTTCGAATGAGAAAGGAGTGTGTAATGCCATTTCCAATGCAATCTTCTTTTAAATCGTCTCATGTGTGCCTACTTAGAATTCCTTGTGCATTCGATCAAAAGCAATAGATATGAAGGTGTAAACGATCATATGAATTGTTTTAATTTACGCCTACTTGTGGAGCTAAGCATCGATCATAATGTTCAGAATCTTCGTCTGCAGTTGCACCACCGTGGAGCTCACTGAGGAGGAGACTCCAAGCACTCATGTCGAAATGTGCAGACCAGCAAGGAATAGGGAATTATAGAATACTGATGCTTGAGCTTCGAATGAAACAAAGCTAGCGATCAAAGTTGACCGCAGAAAGAAGCAAATCCGCTGAAGCTTATACCTATCTCTTCTGCAAATCCATTTTCAAGTTGATATCATCCGGTAGAAGCTCAACACTGTTGACCTTCTTGGATTCCTCTGGATGAGCACTTGGTGTACCGCACTTACCGCATCCATTGGCGAGGTAAAACTCCCCATTAATGGAGTAGTACTTCCTGAGACAAAAGCATAGCGAGCATGGCACAGAACAGTAGGGACAGGCGATTTGAGGAACAAAGGGTACTGTCACGACCGGTGAATATTTAAGAGCTATCGACATGGATATGGTTGGAAGAACCGAACACTCGTCCTCCTCATTAAATGCTGCAACAATAGCTACCTAATGGATCCATGCACTAATGCAAATCATGGTTTCCGGTATCTGAATGCGATGTATATCCGAATTGAAAGATCTCTGCCAAAGAAGATGCTATATTGATCTCTCAACGATACAACGGCATGATGGAAGAAGCTGAGTAAGAATGAAAAGAAGAAGAAGAAGAAGAAGAAAGGAAAGGAGGAAGATGATACTGATCACAGGTGCAAATCCAAGCTCACGTTCTCCTTCATGTTGGGCATCAACTGGTGAGCGAATTGGGTTTTGGGAGTTGCAGAAGAAGCAGCAGCAGTGTCGAGATTGTTGCCACCCATCATTCTGACACCTCCGTCAACTGATCCTGTGAATCTTGGCTCGTGATCTCCTCTGGCGACGGCTGAAGGGACGCGAGAGTGGCCATGGATCAATTCTACGCTCGCGGCGCCACCATGCACGATGCCGGGGGCTCTCCAGAGGCTCGGCAACGGGCTGACGGTGATGGGCTGAGCCACCGGGCCAAGACAGCCGTGGAAACAAGCACCGGAGCGAGCGTTGGCAGTGTGCCCGTAAGGGTAGCGCGGGGGAATCGCAGAGGAGTCGACGGCTAAGCGGGCTGCGGCGGGGGAGAGCGGGGTAAGGGGGTGGTGGTAATTGAAGAGGCCGTGGACGTGATGGCCGTAGATGGCCGCCTGGCTGTGGTGGACTGCGGCAATGGCGGCGGACTGGAGGTGGGCTCGCTTCGCGTGCTGACGCTCGCGCTTGTGGGCGTTTTGGTGCCCGCCGAGCGCTTGCGACGTCGGAAAGTGACGACAACAGTAGTGGCACTCGAACTTCCGTGCAGTCTCGCCTCCTCCGTTAGTGCTGGTGGTGGCGGTGGCAGCGTGGTCTTTGGAGGCGTTGTCTTCTTTGGCGTTATGGTGGTGCGGGACTTCGATGCCAAACAGGCGGATGCCGGAAGCAGCGGTGGAAGGCTTCGGGCCCGGACGGATGAAGGGGAGCTGTGAGAAGGAGTCTACACTCATCAAATCGCGTGCCTCGCGTTCGCTCATCTCTGCTGCTTCCGCTGCTCTGTGGTCGCTTCTATGAGGGAAGAGAGAAACAAGAAGAAAGAAGATATCAAAGCAATTCTTCTTCTTCTTCTTCTTCTTCTTCTTCTTCTCGGTGGCTCTCTTGGTTATTAGACCTGAGGAATACTGTCAACAGTGTTGGTAACCAGGAGAGGAGAGAGAGACTGAAGCACCAGAGAAAGTATTAGGTAGGAAGCCATGCTATCCCTCTCTCTCTCTCTCTCTCTCTCTCTCACACACACACACAAACTCTTTCTCTGTCTGTGAGTTCGTTGGACGTTAAGGAAGAGCAGTAGAAGAAAGAGTCAGCGGAGAGGACATGATCTCCCTTTAAGCAGAAATGCTTTGGGAGTGATCAAGGGGAAGTTGCAGGCCTAGGAGTGAGAGCAGAAGGAGAGGAGTGGAAGAGAGATGTACGGAAGAGCGCTGTTCTCCTCGCCCCGTCCTGTTTGACTCCAAATCCCTCCGCTGGTGGCGATGTATGCCACCATGTCTGTGGAGTTGTGGTTGATGAGGGGCGGTGTGTGAGGTGTACTAGTAGTAATGGAGCGGAGGGTGGACAAAAGGAGCAGACTACTCCATCTGCTGAAAGGGGACCTGACAGTGGCTGCAGCAGCAGCTGTTCGCTGAGGCTGCTGAGGCTGGCTTTTGGCTCGCCAAATGACATCCAAGTACCACTCCATGACCTCCATCACCTCACCACATATCCTCTTGTCAATCCACCCCTCTTCTTCTTACTACTCCTATATTTTCTTTACTTCCTTTGCATCTTTGGCCACCTTCCATGTGTCAACAGCAGTCAGGGTGGCCCTCTCTCTCTCTCTCTCTCTCTCTGAGTATGTCATACTCCATAAGGTACTGGCAGCCATTGAGGCTCACATTAGCTGTTGCTTCTTCATATCTTGTGGACTGGAGCTGGAGAGTCGAGCATGGAAGTGGTCCTCAAGATACAGAGTCTTTGGTGTTAACTGTGTGTTCATGGGATTCTTATAGGCCTTTCAACATCCTTTACTTGAGCTACCTAAGAGGACACAATCCTTCCCCTCATATCATTCCTACTTACCATTTGTGGAGGAGAACAATGGAATGCAATCGAGTATAAATTACAGAAATCAAATACAAGATTCATATGATTCAATTCCATTCGATCACCTTCATAAAGAAAAAACTCTTCGAATAATCAAATACAATTCTCTCAAGTTGCCTCAAACATAACAAGTATATTTATATGGTGCAAGAATGAGTGGCAGTTGTTCCCAGACACTGAAAGCTTCCTGACCAACAAGACATTAACCTAATCTTTGATTTCATCCTGTAGAGTTAGAGCACAGTCTAACTACAGGTCCTCCTTGTCTTCTTCCAAGAGAAGGTCCCAGCAATGGCTTTGTCCTGATCAATCTCAAGCATTTCTCACATTGCATGAGCCAAAAAAAGCCAGACTACTGTACAGTATAGTATTTTTAGGCATATTGCTATTCATATATATAGGGTTTTGCACAGGTGACCAGATGTAGGAATTTGATGTCCTGTACAAGGAACAGATCCCTAAAGAGCAATAGTAAATGTTATCACTTTACTGCTCTCTCTCTCTCTCTCTCTCTAGATTGAGAACAGGAGGAGGTTGCTTTATTCATGCATGCCTGACCCATTTTGCAATTATTCCCTCTCATAACTGCTTATGCTTCCTCTTTATCTGATCTCTTCTCCTCACATCCACTGCCTTGGCCTTGTAAAATGGACACATCCCTGAAACCCTCAGCCACTGCAATCCACACTTGCTCCTTTAGGGGACCCCTTATAAAGAAGAGTACTTGCATGTCTCTCAAAGACCCCACTGCTTGAAAATGACCAATCTCAACCTATTTACTAGCTCAAATACTTCTTCTCCGGTCAGGTCGTAAAGGAGTAACCTTAACCGTAAGGTATCGTATCGATACGCTACTCTAATAATTGTCTTGCACTTGGTCAAGGTGTTCATAACAACGACGGGGAGCATGTCAATCTTAAACTCAATCCGCTGGGGTCCAACGCATGGATCCTGCCTCACCAAGTTTTGTCATCTTTGGATGAGAACAAGAGACGTAACATGAGGGATCACTGATGAGCGATCGGATCAGCTTCCCTAATTCCTAGATATGGATGAACAAAGAACCCAACATCCACATTTCCATCACAGAAACTTGATCCCTGCAGGCCAATCACAGCTCCCCAGCTATCATGCACACTGACACTCGGGATCAATAATTGAACTCACACTAGTAGAAAGAGGAAGAGGATGTTTTCTGCATGTTAAACCTCCAATCAGTGTCATGAAGACTTTGGTGGTGTTCTCGAGGCACCAATCGATAGTGCTGTCGGAAAACAAAAAAAAAAAAAGAAGAGAGATTTAACCTCAGGACCACCGGCCAGTGGGATCTCAAAGCTGAAGTCATCTTCAAAGAGGGGTGGCAATGTTCCGCTGCGAGGAGCCAAGAAAGAGGAGGTGAAGGTGAGGGTGGCTCCTTTCACATGTGCCATGAGTGAGCATGAGAGAGAAAGCAAGGGTGGTGGGGACTTGTTCTTCCTCTTCCAACCTCAATTTAGGTGGAGTGAACTGCCCCCATCATGCGTTACGTATGCTTGACCTTTCCTTGTTGGTTGCCCTACAGATTAATGTGTGTACCCATCAGAGGTAGCATACGATGTGAGCTGTGATTAGACTGTCAAAGGTCATACGCCTGTGTAGATCGTTCGTTCGTTCGTTCACCTTCTTAAAGCTAGATTCTATGGTCTGAATTAGCCCAGATGTTGGATCACAGTTCCAAAGATCTAGGGTTTGATCTCTTTGTGGTGTTCCTGTTGTGAGGTGCATTGAGATGCCCCAAAGAAGAGAGGGACTACTCAGATGGCTGTTTCATGGGGCCACTCTTCATCATGGTGGCAAGCAGAAAAGTATCCACCTCTGCTACCCACTTTAATTCACAAAACAATAACACTGTGGAAATTGAATGGCATCATCCTCAAATGTTCCCATCAAAGAGTTACCATTGCTGTAACTGAAGTTTCTACATATATATATATATATATATATAGAGAGAGAGAGAGAGAGGGAGGGAGAGAAAATGGATAATCAAAGTTTCTATTCAGATATCCTAATTATTACATAATAACATCCATTGCAATTATTTTGGGAATTAAAAAAATATTTTAAACTCTCCATATTTGATAAACAGACCCATTACACAATCATAATATAAACATTTTATGTATAAAGACTACTCTCAAAAAGCACTTGTGAAAAATGAGAGGGAAGAGTTACTTTTTGTTCTTACTTGTACTTGCAGCTTGAAGACTAACCCAGAAGTCAACCTAGTCTTGATTTCTAGGTCACCTTCTTGGATCAGCAGAGACACAGAAGCTGTGCAGTCATTTCTGAAAACCATCTTTTCTACCACAGCAGGTTACCAGGATGAGTCAACAAGAAATAATCACAAGACAGTAACATGCATGATGAATTGAGAAAAGAAGATGCATATGGTTGAGGATTGTTTTGTACCAATCCTTTGTCACCATCTCATCTTGGCTCAGCACTTGCATACATGTTCTTGTACTGTTTTTGCAGTTCAAGAACAAAACCATATTAAATTTGCCAGATGCATCAGTACATACTATCTGTAATCATCCTGAAATCACAGGGATGATCAACTTGCTACCTTGTGAGCAAGATTATTTTATTTTTATTTTGTTTAGTGAATGAGTTTGTGTACAAGATATCTTCATAATATGGTGACATGTGGATCCCAAATCATCTGCTAGCCATTGAGACATCATCATCAAATCTCTATAGACAGAATGATTCTAACAAGCAGGATGTGATATATATTTTTTTCTAACCATATACTATTAGTCAAATCACAGTAAAAAACAAGAGGAACACTATCTCTCTCATTAAAAAGAATATGACTTGAGTATTGCTCTCTTATACATATATAGATATTAGTTTTGTAGGCCTAGAAATCACCAGATAAAACATAGTTTTCTAGAACAGTATAAAATATCATCTATCTTAGTATCCTAGAATTATAAGTGACACAAGATTAGATGGACTTTTGATAGTGCCTAAGATTGGTTTATTATTTTATTTCATTGTAGTGTCACATGAGAATTTGTGAAAATCATTGGCTGCAATAGATAGTTTTGGATCCTTTGTTATGCGTTCGTTTAGAATTTATAAAATTTATCTTTATATTTTATCTTATCTATTAAGTTTTTATCAAAATATCTACTGTCAGATCTCGAATATAATATTTTTTTTAACCCGTCTTCTTTTTTATAGGTCTTTGAGAATCCTAAGAGATTACGAGGGACTAACCCTTTGTATAGAGTAATAAAGACAATGTGTTCAATGTTTGTCCATGATGAATTTTTGTTCATATTTTCTGTTGTATTCTTTACATTTTTTATTTTTTTAAATAGATAGTTTGTATAGAACATATAACACTATCATCAATCCCATTTTTTATTTACTGTTAATGTTTTTATTTTATATTTTCATCATGCAATACTCTGAATATGTTTGATTATGCGACATCGAGCAAAGGGGTACATGACCCAAAACAACATTATTCTCACATACCATGGGTTAATTTTTGATTCACAGTTTAACATAATGAAACGTTAGCTATTTCAACATCTTGAAATACCCTAAGTGTCATCGGGATGGATGAAGCTTTTGATATATATATGAGAGATTTAGGTTTAGTGTACTCGTTTTTTGTTTGATGAAAGTGCAAAATGAATATTGGGTTTGTATCAACATTTGGAGCTTCCTTTATGTATTCAGTTCATTTTTTAAACCCTTCTATGTCTAATAAAGGTCTATTGCTTTTTGTTACTTTGAATGTCAGTTATTTTATATTTTTCATAGGTGACAGTGATAAATTATTCACATATTTATTTTTCTAATTTTTTCTTTATCGTACGATTCCGAAATGTATAATATTAAGATTTAGTCTAATTTTTTCGATATGAGTATCGCATGAGTGTCGCACGCCTTCTCACTAATAAAGTACTCTCGACTCTTTCAACATTTTTCGATAATAATTTTGTATGTCTTTTCGGATTACGATAAACTTCGTCAGTCGATATGGCAAATTTCTCAGATATTTTCGTTCTATCTCGGACAAACTTGCTTGGTAGAAAGCGGACCAGATCAAATGGGACTCGACATATCGAAGTTGAGGATCAAAATTGATGAATGAGGCAATTGTGAGGAACAATGTGTTGACGACTACCAAGGTCACTGACCATGGTTGCCCATCTCTGCCTCCGTCTTGTCCCCACCACCGGTCACCATGGCAGGTGGTCCTTGACATACAACCTCTCTCTCTCTC